CAATCTCAACTCACATTTTGTGCGACTGAGATTTTTTTGTTTGGCCCTTCTTACGCCTAATTTTTTCCTAATAACCCCCCTCAAATACCACTGCCCACTCCCCCCCCCCCCCTTCCCCGGTAAAAAAATGAATGGTCCCTAAGGCAAGAGTTTGTTTTTACCTGTCGTGTCGCTCGTTCTTCCATCTTCACCAGCTGATCCTTCTCTTCATTCACTTCACTTTGAACCTAATGGATATTAATGGATATATAAACGGCATGGCTTATGTAAACTCATAAAATCTAGAAGTTCAGACTTATAAACTCTAGAAGTTCAGTCAAAATTTGAATAGACTTTTTAGAAGGTACATTGTTACCTTGATGGCGTGTTTGTTCATTTTATTTAAAGTTCCTTTCAAGATTTCCCAAGCATAACACCTGTCAAGAAAAACACACCAAGGTAAACTTAGAGAAGTTTTCATATGACTGTGAAAGGCTCACGGTACGAACACGGTCGTGACACGGCAAGAAATACGCCACGGACTAATCCCATAGAACGAGAATGTAATCTCCACCCAATTAGATGCCCGAAACACAGCATGAACACGGCACGGAAATGGTCACGGCCAGACCAATGAGGGGTAAAATCCGCCAATCAAAATTCTAGAAAACATCAAGGTCACGGTAAGGCACGCATATGGCACCGAGCTTTTCACAGTCGAACGAAAACTGCTCCATAGACAAGGCGTAAGGCACTATGGATACTCGGAAAGGCACTAAGGCTTTGGATGCAAATACAGGTCAATCCAAACTATTTTTTTAAGAAATCAATAATATATTTATTTAGAATATGATGAACAAACCTTGTGAAATCTTCTGCCATATCTTTAGATAGAAGCCAGTTGACCACAGCTGAACATTCAACTATCTGTAACCGGACCAGCTTTTCGAYGATAACGACTATCATCTGGGAAAAAACAGCACAGCAAATGAATCAAAGTTTTATTACCACTCGCGCGCAGCAAATTTTCATTGGTTCAAAGAGTAGAGAGAGCTTCTGTTGGGCTTACCAATGGATGTGTATCCCAGAATTCTTTGAGGGTCTTGAGCAAATGAATCTGTGCGTTTTCATTCACAATAAGCGATTTTATTATTTTACTATACCTAAGGAAAGAAAAACAACAGGTATAAGAAAAAAAGCAAGCTTACTGCTTTTTTTTTTTTGGCCTGGAAACGTCGCACAACTGTACTGATGCTGGTGATATTGCAAGCAATGAATTTCTTCAAAGATGTCAAACGCATAGTAACCTTTCTAATATAGTTGAATATGAGACATTGCATGACTATGACCTTGAGTTTGAGGATAGCATGCTCCACTGGATATTTTTAACATTTTTGTTCTCATACAATTCGCATAGGCACTCTGCTAAACTAGTCTGGAACTAAAACTGCAGGACCGGGTTGTTCATAGCTGGATTAGTGTTAATCCAGGATTAACTCTATAGGTCTTATTAAGAGTTAACCCAGGAATAGCACTAATTGGGCTTTGAACAACTTGGCCCRGTTACACAATAAACATAAAAGCTCTGCCAAACTAGTCTCGCTCTAACACTGCAGTTACACAATAAAAACATGACTGTGCAATGTCTCTGTTGAATGGAATGCCCTTTTCCATAACTGCATATAAAACTAAAC